CGTCGCTGTTGTAGGGCTGTGACAGTTACCAGTTACCGTTACCACCGTTACTAGGTAACGATAACTGCTGAACAGTTTCCGTTCCTGATAACGGTAACGGGATGTGGATGAGAGAGAGAAAGAGGCAGTGTAAAAATAAAAGTTGTTCAAAATATTTATTTTTTCTTTGCTCAACCAAAATTAGTGGAATTACAAACTTTTTCCACAACAACACATTACTTGTCCTCATCATCTTCCACACAGAGGGGCGGCAAATAAACTTTAAATCTAAAGTGAAAAATATCCAAATGTACTACTTACGTAGTTTGTTATTGGATTACGTAGATCAGTCGCTTTTTGATCGAAATCTAGTGGGTTATAGGTTATCGACCATGCTGATTCCGAATATGATTATGGGAACTGCCCATGGTCGTTCGAATTTCATATCTTAAAAAGTACAACCACCAAATGAAGATAATATTACTAGTATTCAATATAGCTTTCAGCATGAATGGGAATTATTGAAAATGTTGCTAATAATCCGCGATTTGCCACGCGTCACCAGAAAATTCATGTTCGCCAAATACAACAACAGAATGAACTTACTGTCTTTTTCTGTTAACATGCAAGTTAAAGATTTATAATGAAACTGACAACATTTTTCACAATAAGAACTCAGTTTTATTTTACCAGATTTACAGGAGAAGGTTGAAAGCTGAATCCCCAAAGTGATTGTGAAAAAACCCAATTATACTTAAGAGAAATAATAATTATTATGGGGTTTAGGATAGTTGCTCGTATGACAAGTTCCTCGCATGGACTGATGCTCATCGGACACTTGCTCATAGGGTCTTATAGGACTGGTATTCAGAACCAGTCCGAGAATTTCTCACCCTCACCCTCACCCCATAAGAGTATTTAAGTCATTCTAAAAACCCTAAACAGTTCTGTAAAAGGTTTATTAGCCTTACTGAGCCTAAGGTTTTTTAAACTACGATTTATCAAATGAATTAGGGGGTTTTCTTAATCTCGAAACACTCAATAATTGCCTTAAGGCAATTATGGAATGGGTTTTCTACCATTAGTGTAGTTTTAGTTCTCCAAGTTCGCAGAAAATGAAATAAATCTAAGTGAGCACTCTTTTCCTTGCTCATATAAAAGATGGACATTTGATGGAAATATAAAATTTGTGAAATGTCTTATCTTATTCTTTTCACGGAAAAGCATTCTATACATGAAGAAGTAGAATAGAATATAGAGAAGAAAATTAAATCAGACGGAAAGAAGCAAAGGTCAAAAGAAAAGCGGTGATTTTCATGTTTAGAGTTAACGTAGTATGTGAAACTATGGTATATGGTATATGCTTTGTTCATTTGTTTCTCGAAAACTAGACTCTGCACTCAAAAAGAAAGACCAGATTTGGGTTCTACGTGAAAAGACGATTCATAATATGTATACTATTTCTTTCTAAACCGCCTGCAAAAATAATCGATCTAATTTGATATTCTTCGTTTAATAATAGATGTTGATTAAAATAATTTCGTAACATCAAATGATGCTCGTTGAATACACAATTCAATTAAGTCAAGTATAGTACAAAGGATATATACATATATGTTCTTTTCCTTATGTGATAACGATAGTTTCACATTCTTTTTTTTTTCAGTCAGATTGAATAATACTGCACCCAATTTTCTTTCCAATTCTGTCATCGGTGAAAATATTCACCGGTGAATAAATTCATCGATATGAATTTTTTCGGCTTTCCTTAGAATAGAAATAAGCTTAAATCAGTTCCGTCCTTAAACTCCACAATTCAAACGCTGTTGAATATGAGAATAGTCGAGTTATGTTAACTCATCACGTTACAGAATCTGGGGCAATGCTGAGTTGACAAAAACCAGCAGCTTTATTCACAAAAGCGAAGAATTTTTTTAATATAACAAAATGTTGACTCTCTCAAACAGATTTGCGAAGATAACGTAAATAATCAGCTAATCCGGTGTAAGTATACTTTCCAGAAGTTACTTTAATTTGTAAATTGTCAGTGCCTTGAAGTTTGTAACCTTTAAGTGCAATGGCTTCGTTAAAATATTTCTAACCTTTAAATATGCATAGATAACTGTTAGCAGCAGTACCACAACGCACCACTTCCTGATGTGTTGTAAGCGCATCCATATAAGCTCCACTATCAATATTAAGCCAAATACCCAGTTGCCCTGTATAACTGCCTGCGATCACTCGAATTCGAATCGGTGTATGTGCATTGATGTATTGTAATGCTTTGATAGCTCCGGAATATTCGTCGGCATTCGAATATGCAACACAGACCAATAACGACAATGCAATAAGCAGAGAAAGTTTCGACATGAATTACTACAGCATATAAACAACGAAGTAGGGTTGCGTTCTCCAAACTGTCGCTCTCTCTACGTATCGTGTTAAGTTGCACAATGATAGTTTTAATAAACTCTGTAATACCTATTAGGACTGAATAATCTTGCATGAATCCTATATGTATATATATATATCTTTTACTTCCTACTTTATGTTACGACATTTATTGGTTCTTTTAACTGATAACAGGTAATCAGTAACCTTACTTGTGCAACGATTTTCGACATCTAGTTATACTCTTAACAAATAAGCGAACAAGTCAGCGATGTAATGTTGCGTACTGACTCGTCATGAGTAACTAGAAACAATGTTTTCTACAAAAACGGCCTTTATCGGCGGACTATCAGTCAGTAGTCGATTAATCATGGCAAAAGGCTTTTATCAGCGTAGACCCAACTTCTAAACCTGAATTCCTCCGGGTGCACTTAGATTACCTCACAATAAGAGGCATTTTTCAGGTGTGTGTGAGTTATGTTTAGTTTTTACTTTTGAAATAAAAGATACCACTTTATCGTTACTCAGGAAAGGAACAGCAAAGTGCCACCCCTAGCTCTCAAGCAAACACAGTCCCAGAGGAACTTTTTCATAACTCATCAAACTGTAAAAATCGAAGCTCAGATATGCATATAAATTCACAGGGAATAGAGGCAAAACGCAGTTGCATGAAGTTGCGTACAGACTCAAATCTTGTTGAAGAGTTTATTTTGTATTAAGTGGTAGATTCCTTCCATGACTGTCGCAGTGGCTTTGGGATTGCCTCTTTGGTGTACATCTCTTGTTTATGATTAGTCCATTCAAGCGACATCAATCGTGAAAATTATTTATAGAAATTCGATTGATTTTGTAGAAAGATAGAAATTCGAGAAGAAATTTCCAGTTTATAGAAATTGCTTGGCGATTTTCCAGTTTATAGAAATTCGAATTTACGGAAATTCAAGACGATTTTCTAGTAAGTAGAAATTCAACGATTTCTATAAAGTGGAAGAATTGGTGAGGAATTTCTATAAACTAGAAATTCTTCAACGATTTTCCAGTTGATTTTCCATAAACTAGAAATTAATTCAAGGTTACAGTGTAGAGCTGAAAAACATCGATCACTGCGTGATATCCGAACAGTCTCTTATAGTTTTCGACTGATATATTGAGTACACCACTTTGATTTGTTTCAAATTTTCCAGCAAAAACATATTTATCCAATGGGGAATTAAGACTATTAAATAAAATTTCACAAGTACCCGTGTGAGGAATATATG